GTGTGTGCCACCACCACCCGACTGCTCATACTTTTTCTATGAGTGATGCAGTCCTAAGTCAGCACGCAGGGACTTATTTTCCACCTTTCTTTAAAAGGATGGTTTCAGCTGATGGAATTAAACAATAGAAGTCGCCTTTTGTTTCTAACACAGTTCAGGGTGAACAGCTGTAATCCAACATGACTTTCAAAATTTGAAACTGTTTTTTTTTTTCTTTTTTTTGAGATAGGCTTTCTCTGTGTAGCCATGACTCTCTTGGATCTCATAGACCAGGATGGTCTTGAATCCCCAGAAATCTCCTGCCTCTGCTTCCCGAGTGCTGGGACTAAATGCTTGCGCCACTACAGCCTGGCAAAATTTTGAATTTTGGGATAGTTGAGATCTGGGGCAGTGTGGGGATTGGGTAGGATCTACAGGCGACATCTACAAATACTTAAGTCGGGAACAGTCAGGATGGGAGTCACTTCTGGGGCAGAGGTTTAGTTGGGTTCATGGACTAATTTGCTCTTCAGGTTTATTTTGGATAATTTTACTGTTATCAAGTGAATATGAGATTGAACTAGAGATATTTACGGGGATATCTGATGGCTCCCCCACATCGAATCACTGGCCTTTCTCTGTATAGTCCTGGCTCCTGGAAGTGATTGGCAGTTGCTCACGAGGCAGCCTGAGGTGCTGAGTGGAGACCAGAACTGCCACAGCGGGCTCTGGGCCGCGGTGATCCCCAAGCTCCGCTCCACCTGCCCCCTCCCCCGTACCGCTCGCAGGCCCCTCATCATCAGAGCTATTTCCTTCTCCAGGGAGCATGTTCTTAGCACCTACCCCAGTAAGGATGTGTCAGATGCTGGAGAACAATCCAGGTTTCCACCCCCAGGCAGCTGGCTCAACCAAGATGAGCCTGGGAGAGTCTGACTGGAGTCTATAGAAATACACCCTGAAATGATGTTTTTAAAAGCTGTTGTAAAACAATGTACTGTGGTCCTGTGTGTTTTGTAACAATGAGAAATGCATTTATACATAGAACATTTCTAGAATGATGCGTAAAACTTGTGATCACGGGACTGGGCGGTGGGCACACTGGATTTTTCTGTGTATGCCCATTTCTACTGTTTGAATTTTTTACTGAGCCTAAATTATATAATAATTTTTAATAAAAAGAAAAATGCAAAGATGTACAAAATTTCCTTACTTGACTAAAATTAATATATATATATATATCTTTTCTAAATTTTTTCAAACTTATTTGTGAGCGTTTTGCCTGCATGTATGTATGGGCACAAGGTCAGAAGGCATTGGAACTCTAGTAGATGGTTGTAGCTACCATATGGATGCTAGGAACTGAACCCAGGTCCTCCTAGCCACTGAGCCATTTCTCTGAGCCCTATAAACATTATCAGCTGTCTTTTCAGATAGTTAATATCTCAGGAGGTGTAAGTTTGATGTCTTTGAGTTCTGCCAGGTTCTTCCCTATGTGGATCCATTGTGCCCTTGTGCTTGGCACTGAGTGTGCAAGCCGAAGCTCCTGTGTCTGTGTGTGTGTGTGTGTGTGTGTGTGTGTGTGTGTAAGAGAGAGCGTGCAAATGCTTTAGGGGTGCTTCAGAATACACCTGTAAAGACTAGCGTGATTCAAGAGGCACAAATCCTCGAACTGAAAGCTGTATCCTCAGGATTGATAGACATCAGCTTGGAAGACTCTAGAACAGGGACGTGTTGGCTTTAAGGCGAGACTAGAAGCCTGCAGTGTGCTGGAGTGAGTAGCGCTTAGCCGTGGCTTGGCGCAGACACAACATTGGAGGTGTTCTCCACAAGGCACATTTCTTCATAACGGTTTGAAAATCCGCCTATTTACTGAAAATGGATGTCGGAAGGTTGTGAGAGGCTTTCACAATGAGGGGTCTGGAAGCTCCTCGCCACCCTTCTCTGCCAGTCTGACGCGCCATGCTTGCTGGCAGCTGGCTGGTCTGGTCCTGGAGTGTCGGGGTAGAGCGGGGTTCCACAGGTACCCGGGAAGAGCATCCGGTGAAGCATACCAGTAGGTTTCTCTTTTGTGGACCATAACGTGCCCGCGAAAGACACACCCTCAGAGGCCATCCTCAGTGATGATGCTCATCAAGAAGGGCTATGAAACTGATCTTGTGATAGGTTAGAGAGAGTATTCACAATGTAGATTAGACTGGCAAAAGAGAATGGGTTTTTCAAAATTTATTTTCACTTTACACAACTCATCCTTTGAAATGCATTAGAAAAATAAAATGAAGATGGGGTGTTTTGATGTACTTCACAATGCATGGGACTCAGGTAAGCAGAGGAAGCCTGGAAAAGGAGGCAGGCCCAGTTCAGGGGACTAGAACTCAGCCTCAGACAGACTGGGACATGGACAGCGATGTCAAGGCCCATTCGTGGGGAAAGACTTAAGTTTATCAGTTGCTTTGGGAGTAAGAATTTTCAGTATGACTAGGTGACTGCAAGGGTGCCTGTGGAACACTGTCCCCGAGCCTGGGGATCACAGCCTACTCTCCAGGTAGAGCACTGTCCCGAGGCTGGGGATCACAGCCTACTCTCCAGGTAAAGCACTGTCCCGAGGCTGGGGATCACAGCCTACTGTCCAGGTGGAGTACTGTCCTGAGGCTGGGGATCACAGCCTACTGTCCAGGTGGAGTACTGTCCCGGAGCCTGGGGACCACAGCCTATGTCCAGGTGGAGTATTGTCCCCGGAGCCTGGGACCACAGCCTATGTCCAGGTGGAGCACTGTCCCCGGAGCCTGGGACCACAGCCTATGTCCAGGTGGAGCACTGTCCCCGGAGCCTGGGACCACAGCCTATGTCCAGGTGGAGCACTGTCCCCGGAGCCTGGGACCACAGCCTACCGTCCAGGTGGAGCACTGTCCCCCAAGGCTGGGACCACAGCCTATGTCCAGGTGGAGCACTGTCCCCAGAGCCTGGGACCAGCCTACCGTCTAGGTGGAGCACTGTCCCCCGAGGCTGGGACCACAGCCTAATGTCCAGGTGGAGCACTGTCCCCCGAGGCTGGGACCACAGCCTAATGTCCAGGTGGAGCACTGTCCCCCGAGGCTGGGACCACAGCCTAATGTCCAGGTGGAGCACTGTCCCCTGAGGCTGGGACCACAGCCTAATGTCCAGGTGGAGCACTATCCCCGGAGCCTGGGACCACAGCCTACCGTCCAGGTGGAGCACTGTCCCCCAAGGCTGGGACCACAGCCTAATGTCCAGGTGGAGCACTGTCCCCGGAGCCTGGGACCACAGCCTATGTCCAGGTGGAGCACTGTCCCCAGAGCCTGGGACCACAGCCTATGTCCAGGTGGAGCACTGTCCCCAGAGCCTGGGACCACAGCCTATGTCCAGGTGGAGCACTGTCCCCCGAGGCTGGGACCACAGCCTACCGTCTAGGTGGAGCACTGTCCCCCGAGGCTGGGACCACAGCCTACTGTCCGATTCGATCCAGTTGCAGTGAGGAGATTGCTACTGAGCTGATTCTAAATAGAATCTTGTGCTTTAGTGCCTCCAAGGCACGTTCACTATACACACGGTATTACAGTGCACATTTCCCCTGGACCGATAAAAACATTTCATATAAAAATTCTAAACTCTGATGATCGTTCATATTGGCTACTACTCACTTAAGTTAGTCTCCAGCTGGTGGTTGCAATGAGATCAAAGCATTACCAAAAACATTGCTATGGCTCTTTCTACCGTGCCTGTCTGTATCAGACAGTTTTCTCCCTATGGCTCTTTCTACCGTGCCCGTCTGTATCAGACAGCTTTCTCCCTATGGCTCTTTCTACCATGCCTGTCTGTATCAGACAGTTTTCTCCCTAGATCTCTAAAGTGCTGTCTATTATGCTCCCCTCTGGAAGCAGGTTAACATTGTCCTCTTGCCGTACATGGTGAGGTCGGGACTGATTTCAAGTCACTTGTTCCGGGGTAATGAAATTCCGATGAGAGAGGCCAAGGTGTGGCATGCATATACCCATGCAAATACATCAAAGTATTGAGCACTCCCTATATAATATTTTATATAGAGAGGAAACCTACTGTGCTTTGTGCCAAGAAAGTTGGTTTCACGGGTCTGAGTCAGAAGCAGCACTCGTCCTCACTAACACGTGGGCAGCCCGCTTCCTGACGGTTCACAACACACCGTGGATGCAGAGGCACACTGGCCAAAGACTCCAAAATCTTAAAAATCTACTGTTATCTCACAGTGGCTTACTAAAAGATACAATTGTGCTTATAGGTCATTTAATATAAAAATATATAACACGCCCAAGTCATGTAAAGCATACTTATAAATCTTATTGTTATATTTGGGGTTAGAGTTCAGAGAACAGGAAAAAGTGTATGTGTGTGTGTGTGTGTGTGTTGTATGTGTGTGTATAAAATGGAAATGAAGAAAATAAAATTTAATTCCAAGTGCATGATGTATTCACATTTAGGATGTGTGAAATACTTCGCTGTGGTTCCAGTGTGCCTAGCAGAGTGTCTGACTTTGAAATTTAAACTCCCCTCCATCTCAGACCTACACTGTTCCCTTCGCCCATCAGCTTTGACCTGGGGCGCAGCTGTGTAGGTGCTGCCTTGAGATGCTCACGGGTGCACAGGAATGTGAGCACCCGATGCAAGGAGCTTCTTTCCACTGTAAAATGATCATTTAGCCCAAACACCTACATTCTTATGCTGAACAAAATAAATCCCTTAACACTTGGCACAGAAGCTAATGTTTCCTCCTGAGACAGGGTCTTCCTGGTAGCTCTGGCTGGCCTTGAACTTGTGACCTATCTGCCTCATCCCCTGGAGTGCTGGGATTGTAGATGTGTGTCACCAAGGCCAGAAGCTCATCCTGACAGTGCAATCTGAAGGCTCACTCTGCATGTGGAAGTCACAATTATCATTTTATCATATGAATATAGGAAAGGGCTGTGTGTCTGAACAGTCTAGGTAGGTAGGGGAGCTCCACTCTTCTTGAGAAAGCCCTGAATCACAGAAAAAAGAAAGGAAACTTTAATGTCATTTTTCACAACCTTAGAAATTCTACTACCACTAAAATGTAGTGTTTTGCTAGAAAATAATGTATTGCAATGTTTGTGTCATTGGTATTTCTTTAAGTCTACAACAGACAGTTCCTTGAATGACCCTCCCTGGACTCTCACAGTTTCTGTGAGTCTTGGCAGTCGGCAAGTTAGGATGCAAAACAAAACACACACTTGCGGACGTTGTGTCCACGTGGAAAACGATGTAATATTTGCGAGTTCTTAGTCTTCTCATTTGTTTTCCTGAGAGTCCCATTTCATGTCTCTTCGAAAGCTTTGTCATCAGTATTCAAGTATCTTGACTCTCCGTGCTTCAGGACAAAGAAGTCTTCACTCTTAAGTCCATATCTTTCTAGAGCTTCCTTCAGTTTCGCTGGAGGCTCCAAGTAGTGCTGGAGGGACAGGGAGGAGAAGGAAAACTTACAAAACAAATCCTTGAGAGCTGTTCCATATAAGCATTCAATGAATTTAAAACACCGGATGTTCCTTTAAATGAACCATTAGCAAATATGTCTTCTTCCACAATGGAAGTCACTAATTACAAAGCCACTGTCTACTATGAGAAAGATAATACATCCAAATGTCTGTGTATGCACTGTGGTGTCTCCTTACATCACACAAAATCAGATCCAGATCTTACATAATACAATTGCAGTTTGGCTGGAGTCAATACCAAGAAATGATACTAGAAGACGGTATGACAGTGCATGTAAGCATGAGGGACTCTATCTGTGTTTGTATGGACAAGATGGCTGAAGAAGGCTGTCACCCTAAAGGTTCCCTTGTCAGAGGATGAGAACAGAAAACACAGTACAGTCCAACTCCTGATTGCCTCAGTGCTCCCTTAGCACCGTGAGAACATCCTCAGTGCTTCCTTAGCACTGTGAGAACATCCTCAGTCCTCCCTTAGCACCGTAAGAACATCCTTAGTGCTCCCTTAGCACCATAAGAACAGCTCATCCTCAGAGCTCCTTTAGCACTGTAAGAATATCCTCAGTGCTCCCTTAGTACCATAATAACATCCTCAGTGCTCCCTTAGCACCATAAGAACAGCTCATCCTCAGTGCTCCCTTAGCACCGTAAGAACAGCTCATCCTCAGTGCTCCCTTAGCACCGTAAGAACATCCTCAGTGCTCCCTTAGCACCGTAAGAACATCCTCAGTGCTCCCTTAGCACCTTAAGAACAGCTCATCCTCAGTGCTCCCTTAGCACCATAAGAACAGCTCATCCTCAGTGCTCCCTTAGCACCGTAAGAGCAGTACACCCTCAATGCTCCCTTAGCACCGTAAGAACAGCACAAAGCACACTCCAGGATGTTCTTGCACACTTGCATATGCTCTTAAACATTCAAACTGGATGGGCAAGATGGCTTCATGAGCAAAGATCCTTTGACACCAAACGTAAGGTAAAGGAAGTGCCTTGCACCTCAGAGGGGTGTGGCTATGAAGCTCCCAGCAGATACCGGGAGGATGTGCTGTGGGATAAGGCTCTTGTACACTGTAAAGATCTGTCACTTGGATTTGTTTAATAAAACACTGATTGGCCAGTGGCCAGGCAGGAAGTATAGGTGGGACAACCAGACTAGGAGACTTCTGGGAAGGGGAAAGGCTCAGTCTGCAGTCACCCAGACACAGAGGAAGCAAGATGAGAACGCTGCACTGAGAAAAGATACCAAGCCACATGGATAAACACAGATAAGAATTACGGGTTAATTTAAGTCATAAGAGCTAGTTAATAATAAACCTGAGCTAAAAGGCCAAACAGTTTATAAGTTTGTAATATAAGCCTCTGTGTGTTTCTTTGGGACTGAATGGCTGTGGGACCAGGTGGGACAGAAACTTCCATCTACAGGATTAATTAAGAATCAATACAAAATTCTTAGAAGTTTTCATTCACTGACCACATTTCATAAGGGTAACAGTTATGCCAGAAGTTTGTGATTAATAATTTCAGAAAACACAATGGTGCTGTTGCACTTTCTGAACACCTCTGCTTCCTTCCTTGGTGGCTGGGAAAACAGCCTTGGTAACCATAGCAACCTATGGTCTTGGGAGGAAGGCAAAGTGTATGATTTGCATCAAGGTCTAGTTAGCTGAATTGAAAGGTATCTCCTTGGAGACTTTGCTTCCAACTCCAGCAGGGTCCCTACCAGCATCCAAGTGAGAAGGAATTTCTTTTTCTGAGTTGGGTTAGCTACTCAACCTTTCCTGTATCTCTAGGGGTAAAGGTATAAACGGTTTATTTCCTGGGCTATGATCTTATGTTAATTGAAACCAAGGTGAAGGGTAAATACAGAATATTAGTAGCCTGTTAGGGCAGAGCAAAGGCCAGCAGATGACACCTTCCTGAGTCTGCTGCTAGAGAACTCAGGGCCACCCAAACCAGTTTATCTGTGAAAGCAAACATACTCTCTGCTCAGTGCCTCCTGCCTAGGGCTCCTTTCTAGTCAATGAACCCTGTCAATAAGGATAATTGTGGGGGACTAGATTTATATAGATCTGACGATGAGAACAAAGGTTTGGCTGAGTGGATGCTTTCACACCAGGGTTTCATGGTGTGGGACAAGCTATCCGGTTGCTGGTGCAGGAAAAGTCAAGCTATCTCAACAAATGATTTATACACTGCTGGGATGTTACAGGAGGGAGACGCGTAATCCACAGGCGTTCCCGAAGCTCTGCAATCGGGTTCTCCATATGCAGTATATATACACATACACTTCCCGTGGAGCTGTACTTTTGTTGTATAGTCTGTAGGCTCCAGCACATACATACAGAATTTCAGGGTGCTGCTAAGTTACAGACATCTGTATCCTGCTTATATCACAATGAGCAGCTATTTCCAGTTCTTATACAAAACACCAAATATTTAGAAACTATGGGCTAGGTACATCTGAAGATCCCATAGACTTCCATGCTTTCGTGTCGGTTGAGAAAACTGGTAACTATAAAACAGTCAAAGGAAAGAGGAGTTTATGGAGAGCCTCGGAAAGAAATAAAGATGAAGGTACGGCATAACAAACCTCCCTGTGGAGCTTTATTCTGTTTGAGATGCTCAAGTGGCCACTTATGCGGACTTATGCTGTGGTCTTCCTGCAGCCACCTCCTGGAGCAAGCGAGCGTGATTCTCGGAGGGTTTAGGATGCAATGGTTTGAACAGGAACGGCCCCCACAGACTCACGTGTTTTAATGCATGGCCTATTAGGGTGTGGCCTGTTGAAGTAAGTGTGGTTTTGTTGGAGGAAGTATGTCACTAGAGGTGGGCTTTGGGGGTTTCAACCGCTCAGGATAGGCCCAGTGTCTCCCTCTTCCTGCTGTCTCAGCTCCTTCTCCAGTACCATGTTTCCCGCCATGACGACAATGGACTACACCTCTAAAACTAAGTCAGACCCAACTAAAGGTTTTCCTTTATAAGAGTTCCTGTGGCCATGGTGTCTCTTCACAGCAACAGAAAACCTAACTAAAGCAAGTGAAATGATTTTGGTTTTTTTTTTTTTTTGAGACAGGGTTTCTCTACATAGGTTTAACTGTTCTGAAAATCACTCTGAAGACCAGGCTGACCTTGAACTCACAAAGATCTACCTGCTTCTGTCTGTCTTCCAAATGCTGGGATTAAAGGTGTGTGCCACCACTGCCTGGCTGTGAAATGGTCTCAGGAAAGAGCACTACTGTCTGCCCACTCACTCAAGCTAAGCCATCATTCCCTCCCTTACAAAGGTTTAGTAACACAATCACTAAAAAAGGCATACATGGAACACACACACACACACACACACGAACAGATAGAGCCATCAACAGCTGTATGCAAATGTACCAGTTTGTCCCTTCCCAAGTTCCCACGTACATGTAAACCTCCTAGCTCTGTGGGTTTTCATGAATGACTCCACTCCACCTCCAGCAGCATGGCTAAAGACCTGCTGCATTACTCGGGGTGAGTGCATCATAAGATAGACATCTTAATTAGGGGGTAGGGAAATGAGCATTGCATGTATTAGGTAATTTTGGAACAAACTGTATCTTAAGAAGAGGCCACACCAGAGACAAAGCAGAATAAGCGGGTTAAAACCAGCAAGGAAACACCGGGTCTCTGTAGAGGCCCTGGGAGACAGAAGTAGTCACCGAGGGCCAAACAGGGGAAATTAACTTCTAACCCCTTTCTTGGCATTGCTTGGGCTCAAACCCAGGAATGAAGAGACGATTTCACTAGAATTCCTGACTCTAGAACCCATACTAGCAGAGCCTGGGGATCAGTTCCCCAGGAAGAGTCAGCTCTTCCTATACAGTCTAAATAAGCCACATTTACACAGTGGAGATAACAAACACTGGGGGGAAGTGAATTGAACGGGTCAGATATTTCTAGAAAGCCCCACATTCTTGCTCTTCTTCCACAGCCCTCCACGACACCTTCTCTCCTGTTGAACAAACTCCTCCTCTCCCCATGTTTGCTGCCCCCAGACTATGCTCTGCCCTTCCCTCCTCTGGAAATAAATACTTTCTTCTTGCCTGTGGCCAAGTTAGCAATTCCTCCTTCCATGAAACGATTCCTGATCCCTCCCTGTTTTGAGACCAGTTGATCTGCCCCACATCATAAAAGCACGTCCACCGTCCAGTACACAACGTGCGTGTCTTCTAGCTCCTAGTAGAACATCAGCCATCTGGAGCATGGGGGCGTGATGGCTCATTCTCTGTGCCACACACAGATCTCGGATGCACATGCTTCATTAACTATGAAAATGAGCCCCCAAAGCAGCGCCATGGGGTTTATTCCTACTGCTCTCAAGTGTTATTTTACTAGTAAGTAGGCTTTGTCCCTCCAGCTTATGTGGTGGTCGTGGTATCTGTATGGAACTTGAGTCCACGGCGTGGTCTGTGAAATCCCTCCAACAGTCAAACGCACAGTCATGGCTGAGTTGTCTGTTTAAACCACACTTACCTCATTAGCTAAGGCAAAAGTTCCCCAGTGAATTCCCACGGATCTCTTCGTCTGAATATCGATGTGAATCCTTACGGCGTCTTCTGGGTCAACATGCTGATATTTCATAAACCACCTGATGAAACACAGCAATTCGTTAATTCAGCTTTGAAAACAGCCTAGAGTTAGATGACTGTCTCATCTAATCAGCTTCTAACAGTCTGCACATCAGGAGAGGTGACTGTGCTGTTAAGCGCTCGCACGACCCCTGCAGAAAACCTGAGTTCGGTTCCCAGTGCCCGTTGCCCCACATCAGGCAGCTCACAACTGCCTGCAACCCCAGCTCCAGGAGATCCAGTGTCTTCGTCTGGCCTCCTTGGACACTTAACACTTACGCACACAAACACACACAGAGGCACGTATATATACACAGTTCAAAATAAAATTTAAAGCCAAAGATTCTTCACAGGACAACAGTTGAAAACAGCAGCTCGCTGTGTCGATTTTTACGCCCCCCCCCCCCAAGTCCTTCACTTGACTTGATGTCAGATGCAGCAGCAAACAGCAAGGTTGCTTTCAGCCACTTTCCAGACATCGAAGTCAACGGAGCTCATCCAGGAAACTCACAATTAAAAGTTACCCCATTATCCTGATGTAACTACTCCGGTTGCAACACTGGCACTAGGCTTAGGCAGCCAGAACTGAGAACCACAGGGAAGGAACACGAGCAGTGATAAATGAACCAGACACTCGGTCTGGAGGCCGGCCAAGACTGTGAGAAAACAAGCAAGGCCGGAGAGATGGCTCCGCCCACTTCCTGGAGACCTGAGTTCAGCTCCCAGCACCCTCATCAAGAGGCTCAAGACGGCTTATAACTCCAGCTCTCAGGGAGCTAACACCCTCTTCTGACCTCTGTAGGTACCCAGACACATGGCATTCACTCACACAGACACACAATACCAATAAAATACCAAAAGTAAAATCTTCGCTGGGCGGTGGTGGCGCACGCCTTTAATCCTAGCACTTGGGAGGGAGAGGTAGGCAGATCTCTGAGTTGGAGGCCAGCCTGGTCTATAAAGAGAGTTCCAGGACAGCTAGGGAAATGTTGCCTCAAAAAAAAAAAAAAGTAAATGACTCTTAAAATATATATGCAAATAAACGATTCTAGACAGAAGCAAAACCTATCCACAGTCAGTAAAATTATTTCCCTTCAGTCCACTTTTCTCTGGAGGCAAAAAAGCAAAAATCTTGTGTGTATAAATGGCTAAACAAGAGTCTCAAGCTTTGTTTCATGTTTGATTTTGACTGATGCTGTATTTTAAAAACATGACTTATTACTTTAATAAGCAGATACTCTGCAATTTTAGGAATGAATCAAAGAAATAAAATAATGGGCAAAGAATTGGAGCCCAGGTGCTCTGGCCCTCCCAGAACTCGTCCCCAAGACTCCATCGTCCTACAACAGCAAAGGATGATTTTACTGTCAGCAGCTGCTGAGTCCTCTGGGAACCCCAAACCAAAGCCACTCAGCAGACAACAGAAGTCACATTCTACCTTGACACTCAGGAGTCAAGACAGAATGGAAACAGTCTTGGTGTGTCTACTGCCTATTAAACAATCCTATCTCTCTTCTAACTTCCGTTTACCTGAAATCAATCCATCTATCTATCTATCTATCTATCTATCTAATCTACTCTAGCCATTAAAATGAAACGTCAGTGCTAAAGCCAACAGACCGCTTGACCTAGCTTGGTCAGGGCTCTGGATTCAGACCCCAGCACCGCACGTGGGAAAAGTAATTCCAGCTGCAGTGTCTGAGGATGAGACATCCTGGACGGAGGAAGGAAATACTCCCAGCACACAATGGAAAGACATTCCTTGCTGTAATCGGCTTACGTGTGTACAGAGCTCCTAAGTTTTATTTCATTTCTGAAACAGCTAGGATTGGCAAGATAAAGCCGGATTCCACCGTACACATGAACTACCATGCTTAAAGGTCTTAAAGCAGGCCATGCCTCCAGCCCCAGCCTCTTGTAGCCTAGAACGAAGATGGAGCACAGCACTGCAGAGAAAGGCAAGGTTGTGAGCATGCAGTCTGTGCCCTCACCACAGACACACATGTTAAACACATTCGATAGCACTCGTGGGGGCTTGGATTCATAACTATAAGAGATACTCTAATACATAGTGAGTAAAAGCAACACCATTTGAAAATGATTTGTAACAGGTTTCTTTGTTTTGTTTTTTCAAGACAAGGTTTCTCTGTGTATCCCTGACTGTCCTAGAACTCACTCTGTAGACCAGGCTGGCCTCAAACTCACAGAGACCTGCCTGCCTCTGCCTCCCAAGTGCTCAGATTAAAGGCATGTGCCACCACAGTTTTTTAAAGCCATGTTGATTGATATTTTCAGAAGTTTCATGAGAACTAGAATCATTTGAGTGGAAAAAGTAAACTTTGAATATTAATACTGACTTATTATAATTTTTGCTGTGGTATGTAGTGGTGGTGGTTTTTTTGAAACAGAAGTTTTGGGATTAGAGGAATGTGCCACCTCATCTGGCAAGTTATGATAGTTTTTCAGTTTTTTTTAATCTTTAGTATCTCTTCAATATAATACCTTTCAAATACCATAGCATCCTTTCTTTTGACTATTAAATTTTAATTTATTTTGTGTATGACTGTCTATATGCATGTATGGAGGTCAGAGGGTAATTTCGTAGGAATCAGTTTTCTCATCCACCACGTGGGTCTTGAACTCAGGTTATCAGGCTTGCTGGCAGGCACCATTACCCTGCAGAGTCATCTTCCCACCCCAAGTTATGATAGTTTTAATAATGACTAAGGACCCAGAGAAGATGTGTCTAAACCCGCCGTGCAATGGTGGTACATGCCTTTAATGTTAGCATTCAGGAGGCAGAGGCAGGCAGATCTCTGTGAGTTCAAAGCCAGCCTGGTCTACAGAGGGAGTTCCAGGACAGGCTTCAAAGCTACAGAGAAATCCTGTATCGAAAAATCAAAAATAAAGTATCTAACCCCACAATAAGAAAATAAGTAAAGATAGATAGATAGATTGATTGTTAGATGATAGATAGATAAATAGATAGAAAGATAGATAGATAGACAGACAGACAGACAGATAATGTTAATAAGGTTTGGTGAACTTAACGGGTAACAAATGAATTTGGCAGGGACGAGATATAGCTCAGTGATGCCTGAGGCCCTGGATTCAATCCCCAGTTACAATGAAATGGATGGATAAAATAATAGATATAAGACTACAAAATCCCTTACCATGTGTACAAACTGCTACCCAAGGGAGTCTCAAGCGCTGAGGTTATAGATATACTGCCTGTGGTAGAGACACAATGTATCTGTATTCGAGCTACAATGTATCTGCGTTAGAGCTACAATGTGGCTGTTAGAGATACAATGTATCTGTATTAGAGCTTCCGTGTTAGAGATACAATGTTTCTGTGTTAGAGATACAATGTATCTGTATTAGAGCCACAATGTATCTGTGTTAGAGCCACAATGTTTCTGTGTTAGAGAAACAATGTATCTGTATTAGCGATACAATGTATCTGTGTTAGCGATACAGTGCTTGCAGGGGAGCCTGAATGACACACATATATCCGCATGCTTTGAAAGGAAAGCAAAACCTGGTATGTGTGGTGTGTTCGTGTATGTGCACATGTGTATGAGGACGCGTGCAGCCCAGAGGTCAACATCAGGTATTTCCCTCTCTGCCTTTTTAGGAGAAAAAAATGATCACATTTATTCATTCTTTGTGTGTGACACACACATGCGGGCGAAGAGAACTTACAGGTGCGGATTCTCTCCTTCAAACCTGCAGGGGACCAAACTCGGGTCTTCAGGCTTTACCCTGAGTAGCTGGTGCCTTCAGCTGCTAATCCATTTTGCAAGGCCCCCACCTTGTTTTAAAGCCGGCTTCTCTTGCTGAACCTGGATCTCCCTGATTGGTTACACAGTCTGGCCAGTGAACACCCAGGATCCTCCTGCCCGCCTCCCCAGCTCTGGAATTCCAGGATTGTGCTGTCAGCCAGGGTTTTTTACTGTGGGTTCTGAGGATCCAGACCTGCACCCCCCCTCCCCCCCAATTGCTTGTATAAGCACTCATTTTATTACCCAGGAAGTCAACTTCCCAGCCCACGTTGTTACAGTCTGTTTGCTTCACATGTACATCACTAAAATCATACCTCTCCTAAGAGACAGTATTAAGTACAACACAGTAGTCAGGTCCTCTGGGTCTTCAGTAGTGACAGTGTGGTAACTCACTGCTCTCAAAGTCGCGCTGAGCACTCGGTGGCGGGAGGGGGAATGGCATGACAGGACCAGATTCTGGGCACTGACTGAAAGTAGGAACGTCACAAGGGCTATGAGCCAACTTGTTTCCTCGCTCTGCAGGACAGGGACTGGACTTCCCAGTCACAGGGTAAAAGACGCTCACCCACGAGTTGGCTCCAGGCACTGACTAGTGAGCCGGAAGGTGTGTGGGCTCTGGCAAGGTGTAGAAATTCTTTTTTTTTTCCCTCCAGGTTAGCTTCGATCTCCCAGAGATTAAAAGATGTGAGCCACCACCGCCCAGCCAAATTCTTTACACCTTAATATAAAATTGATTATGAATCTAACTTCAACTTCTATCGATGTATACCATGCCCACTACTAAAATCACAAATTCCACAGTATCGGGAATCATAGCCCGTAACATCCGTGTTTACAAACCTGGGCTCATATGCTCCAATGGGAATAGCTGCGAGGTCGAAGGGCCCAAACCTCTTCCCTATCTCTTCGAAAGCAGGGCAGTAGCCAGTATCCCCAGCAAAGAAGAACCGGTTCCAAGGCCCCAGCACAGACCAGCTGCCCCACAGGACCCTGTTGTCATCCAGGAGGGTCCTTTTACACCAGTGTTGGGAAGGCGTGAAGACAAAGGTGACCTTGTCGTGGCCAGGCACGCAATTCTCCTCCCACCAGTCCAGCTCGATGACGTTCTCACAGCCGCATTTCTGCATCCAGTCGAGGAGACCCAGAGGCACAAACCATCTCAGGTCACTGCCAAACCGCTCATTCAGAGCCAGGACAGAGCCGTAGTCCAGGTGGTCGTAGTGGTTGTGACTGATAAGGACCGCATCTATTGCGGGGAGCTCACTTATGGTACACGGGGGGCGGCGGAATCGCTTCGGGCCCATGTACTGTGAGGGAGAGGCGCGGGAGCTGAACATGGGGTCCGTGAGGAAAATGAGCTCGTCCATCTCCACCATCAGCGTGGCGTGGCCCAGCCACGTGACTCGTAAGCCAGCCTCGGTCACCCCAGCTTCTTCAGGGTCACTGATAAAATACGGCTTAAGCACTGGGAGCTCTTTGTCAAGTTCCTGTATATATAAAACAGGAAAAGGCAGCAGTTAGGGGGTGGAAAGATGCTATGTCATCCCAGAAAACACTGTGACCTACATTTCAGCGGGGAACTATTTGGAGATAACTGAAGCCATCCAGAACACCTGCTCTTCAACATGTGCCCTTGCTCCTTTCTAGAGGTGAGTTAAGAACCACCGTTTAGTAATCTGCTTCGTCCCAAATGCAAGAAGCAGAAGGAAAATGCAATTTAAACCCCTCGATACTGCTAAGTTTGCATTCTGAAGGCTGGCTTCGGAAGCACCAGCAGCAGAACGGCCTAGATGCGATCATTCTGCGGCTGTCACCTCCCTGAGCCGGTGAGGTATCTGCTGCCTGAAAACAGCCTCGGAAGCAGGCCAGTCCAGGGGAACTCACAACGGAATTTGACAGCAATTGACATTAACCCTTGGGTCTTGCAGAGCTCACTTCCTGAGCACAAAAAAGGCAATGCAAAACCCTGTGGTGATTCCTGGGTCACATTCATAAGTGGTTCCCCTCAGTCCTCACCTTTACAAGACTGACGCAGAGAGTGGAGGCAGGAGACAACGGTAAAAGAGAACTAAGAAGACTGAGAGAGTCTGAAAGAGAAGGCCTGGCCACGGGAGGAAAGGCAGAGATGGCAGCCATGTCTCTTAAGCCCTCCGAGCTCAAGTTCTCCGTCTGGAAGATGGGTATAATGGTATCACATTGGAAGATGGCTCACAGTACACACTCTCTGTGTATTCCTAAAGAAGACAGTGTCCCAACCCCAGTGACCGAGCATACACCAGGTTTGTCCATCTCTTGTATTTCTGCACAGCCGGTAACCTGACTTAAGATCCTGAGTAGCAGCTAGACACATCAGAGTACTCATGACTACTGCTCAGCTGTCTCCGTGCCCGCTCCTTTCACACACAAGAGACATAACAGTCCTCAACACTGTACCAAGATGAACATGGTAGGTGGCATTTACAATCCCAGCACTTGGGAAGCCGAGGAGGAAAGACCAAGAGTTCAAGGCTAGCCTGGGTTAATACAGTAAGACCTGTCTAAAATAATCCAACAAAATCCGTGTTCCTGTGGGTAAGATTTAACTCCTTCCCTGCTGGAAGTCTTCATTGCTCACGATCCCTGACAAGCCCCATCTCATCCCCTTGCCCAACAGTAAGCTGCCCAAGGCATGCCCAGTCCTCCCAGCCAGGCTTCATGCTATCTAATCCCACACACTGTCTATCCCACCCTCAGGGAAATACTTCCCATTCCTGGACCGAGCTTCAGAACTCTGCATAATTCTGATCCATTTCTCAGTCCTTGGACACCATCGTTAAATTGTGCATCCTCCAAGGGAGCATCCCTGATTCTCTCTGCAGGTGGGATCCCACCCCCACCCTGTGCAACCCGTGGACGTGCATGTGCCCATGAATGCAAGCTTCCTGTAGGTCTTCTCGTCTGAATGTAGACTCAATCTCTCGTCCTCTATAGCTTGGGATCATTCTAAGTGCCTGATTCACTGACTACAACACAGGACGTGATCAATAAAAAAAAAAAAAAAAAATTGGATAAATTAATGAACAAATAAATGTTAGATTTTTTTTCAATTAATTCTCAAATTTTACAATTAGGGTTAGAAAAAAAGTAAGGACTTGGGGAAGAAGTGTGAAGAAAAGGGGGTAGGATCACAAAAACCACGAAAACATCAGGGATGGTAGGTATGTTCATTATCTTTATAGAGGTGACCCACTCCGCCTGTGTCAATGTTGAAATCAAGCTCATCAAATCATACACTTTCCATATGTGGCACCTCCATTACGTTAACAAAGCTGTTTTGAAATGTTTGCAAAGAGAACCACATTGAACAGGATGTTGAAAGACTCGGAAAATCATAACCACTGAAAGTGAATGCACTTTGGTTTTGCTCTAAGTTTGAAGGTCACCCGAAGTTTGTTATTTAGCACTTCTGAATGGCTATTGGGGGATCAAGCCCACAAGTGAGCATTGTTAACAGCCACAATTTATTCACCAAGGTTATGAAGACAACAATGTAGATCAATTGTTTCCAGGGAACAGAGCAGGGCAAAAGAATCCTGGTTGGAAGGTATGACTGAAGGACATGGGTATTATATTTAGAAATAGCAGAAATAATTGTGTGTCGTTGATAATGTCTGTGAATATACTAAAAATCACTAAACTGTATGTTTAATGGGTCAGTTGTGTAGTATGCAAAGTATTACCAGTAAGGCTGTTGGGGTGGCACACACCTTTAATCCTAGCACTTAGGAGGCAGAGGCAGGTGGATCTCTGTGAGTTTGAAGTCAGCAGGGTCTACAAAATAAGTCCAGACACCTAGGGCTACACAGAGAAACCCTGATGTGGGATTTCCCTCTGTATGCTGTGAATATGTTTTACTACCATTGGTTAATAAAATCTGCTTCAACCTATAGCAGGGCAGAATAGAGCCAGGCTAGAAGAGATATAGAGAGAGAGTAGGTGGAGTCAGGGAGATGCCATGTACCCATTGGAGGAGACAGAAAGTGGAACCTTGCAGGTAAGCCACAATCTCATGCTGATGCACAGACTAATAGAGATGGGTTTATTTAAGATGTAAGAGCTAGCTAGAAATATGCATAAGAAAATAAACTGAGCAGTGTTGTAATTAATACGTTTCTAAGTGATCATTTCACACCCTTCTGTTGGTGGCTGTAACACAATAACAATCAGACAAAGTCACAGAGGCAACAATTGTGCAAAGCAACAGCACCTCTGAACCAAGTGTGTGCGGCCTGTGAGCTGACACACTGCCAGAAAAGACAGATACCAGGAATGGTCCAGGAAGGAAACTTTCTCACAAGGCAACTAAACCATGCTTCCTGCTTATGACACTTCATTTAGACCTAGTAATTGATGTATACATTAACCATATGTTTCTGCTACAGCACTTTCATATATATAGGTAAACAAATACAGTATACTATAATGAGATAAATTGCATGTAAATATTTTCTTTTCAAAGTAATGACTTAAGGCTGTGATCTTCTCATTAAACACTGGACTCCCAGTGTTTAACAAAACGACTCCCAGAAATCTTATTAAGTTTGATTGACCTCCAGTCTGGGTTTTGTTTCAGGATCTGGGGAACATTAACCCTGCCACACTGGGGTAAAGCTCACCCTTTCACCACATTAAACATGTAACCCTGAAATAAAAGAAACCAGTGTGGATCTAATCTAAATTCAGTCTTTCACAGAAGAAAAGGAGGAAATACAACAGGGCAGACGTCATAAATGAAAATGCAAACTAGAGTCGGGGGAGGGCTGTGGTGCACTCGGGAGGCAGAGGCAGGTGGATCTCTGTGAGTTGGAGGCCAGTGGTCTACAGAACGAGTTCCAGGACAGCCAGAGCTACACAGAGAAACCCTATCTCAAAGAGAGAGAGACAAGGAGAGAGAGACAGAGAGAGAGAAAGGTGGAAGGAAGGAAGGAAGGAAGGAAGGAAGGGAGGGAGGAAGGACAGATAGACAAACTGGAAAAGTGCAAAAGTGTCTTTCTTTCAGAATATACTGAATTCATTTTTACTGACATATTCAACAATAAGAATCCTGTAGGAGGAACGCCGGTTGTTGGTTCCTGCCCGCTTAGCCCTGAAATAATCACACAGAAACTATATTAATTAAATCACTGCTTGGCCCATTAGCTCTAGCTTTTTTATTGACTAACTCTTACATATTAATTTAACCCATCTCCATTAATCTGTGCATCGCCACGTGGCTGTGGCTTACCAGCTAAAGTTCTGGCGTCTGTCTCTGAAGGGGCTACATGGCTTCTGACTCCGCCTCCTTTCTCTCAGCATTCTGTTTAGTTTTCTCCTGCCTAGCTCTGTTCCCTTATAGCTCTGCTATAGGCCCAAAGCAATTCCTTTGTTTATCAATGGTAATCACAGTGGTACAGAAGGGGAATCCCATATCAGAGTCCCCTTTGGTATCTTGCCTATGCCAGCTTTTACAAAGAAAAACTCATCTGAAGAATGCAGCCATGCCTCTATCACCCTCACGTCCCCGCCCTGTTCACTGGTGCACTTATGGTCTGATTTGTTTTTCTCAAGACAGGGTTTTCCCTGTGTAGCCCTGGCTGTCCTGGAACTCGTTGTGCAGACCCGGCTGACCTTGAACTCAGAGAGTTCCACCTGCCTCTGCATTTGGAGAGATGGGGTTAATGGTGCACTTCACCATCATCAACCAGCACACTGACAGTTTAACACGCCACACGAGTGACTAATTATTGGCTTTGTTATTCATCCTCTGCGACATCATAGAGTGTGTCCAGCACGTAGCATGTGCTCAGTAAACACAAGCTAATAAGTGAGAGTAAGGACAGACTTGGGTCCCTAAGATCCAGGATGACAAAGCCAACGACAAGGTGCTTATTTACATGTATGTACTCCTCTACAGCTTTTAGTGGGATTTCAGAAGGGACAGCTGTTCCCTTAAAAACCACTGGCCTGGCTGGGCAGTGGTGGGGCACTCCTTTCATCCCAGCACTTGGCAGAGGCAGGTGGATCTCTGTCAGTTTGAAGCCAGCCTGGTCTACAGAATGAGTTCTAGGACAGGCTCCATAGCTACTGGGAAACCCTGTCTCGAAAAACAAAACAATTTATTGGGCTCTAGATTTAATGTTGAGCACAGCAAATATATGCATATATGTGTGTATAAACGCATACATATATAGTTATAGATATACTATATAGAGATTACTATGAATATTTCTAGCCTTAAAGTGATAAAAGTTTCTTCCCTACCCCTTTTTTGAGACTGGGTCTTACAGTGTAGCCCCGGATGTCCCAGGACTCACTATGTAGATCAAGCTGGTCTTGAACGCACAGAGATCCAGTAGCCACTGCCACCTCAGTACTGGAATTAAAGGTGTACGCTACCACACTTGACATGATGTAAGACGTTCAATCCTATATCCTTTAAAGAAAGGCAGGCAACATTTACCAAGTAAACCTATCACCAAATCCACCTCTACCAGCACAGCCCTTACCTCTTCCCACGTAGACCAAAGCCTGCAGGAGTGACCCAGTCTTTCCTTACCATCTCTCTGCTCACAAAGTCAGAACCCTGCCCCCAGCTCCCCAAAAGCCAGCCAGGAAGAGAAGATGCCAGTGTAAGGGAGCCATCACTACTCATCCAACCCTGCCCCAGCACGTCTTGCTCTTCCAGTACTCCTCTTGCTAAGGGATAACAAACTGCATCCTGAGTGAAGCTGCTGCAATTGACACTAATAAACCTATGCATCTCTGCAAAGGACAGCAAGAGTTCTTTACAGCATTGGTGGCTGAGTCCAACAGTAAAGATATGCTTTAGGTCACGCCTTACTTTGTAGATTCCATATCCCAACTCCTTATCAGATGTCACTTTCTGGAGCACGCATGCTCTGCTCCCCTTCATGGTGTGGTCACGTGATCACTTGATCTAGAAAACCACTGCAGAATGGCTTTCTGGGAAGGACCAGCACACACGCTCCCAACGACCCCTTCCAGTCAGAATGGACCACGTCTATCTACCCCTCTGTTTCTACAGCACTTTACCCCAGCCTCTGGCTATGGACAGGGAAGGATTATTTACACACGTCCTGTACTGCTAAACCAGGAACTTGAGGACAGGGGTCATAGGATTCATTTGTCTCTTCAAACTTACCATTATATCTCATCGTATAAAAAAGAATGCAAACAGGTAAGTAGAGGGTCATGCCTCACAGAAAAGCTAAGTTGTGTGTGTGTGTGCGTGTGCGTGTGTGCGTGCACACACACATGTGTATTTAACGCATACACAAAGCATTCAGAAATGGATCCATCTGCCTACCTCTTTGGAGCCTGGGACACTGCTGTGGTCTTTCTCCATTATCAGCCACCTGAGGAAATCTGGAATAGAGATGTTTTTCCACGTTGGCCACGGATTAACGAATCTCCCATCTTTTCCTTTCCTTGACTTAGTTACGTCTTCTTCTAGTCTATAATCCAGTTTGAAGCTTTTTCTGGAAAACCTAGAAGACACACTTCCTCCTGAATTCTGTACTGAATTTTGGCGCTTCCTTACTGTTTCTTTGGGATATTGGTAGCTTGTTGTTGGAGACTGGCTGTTTTCATTTTCTTCCATGTCCTTTGGTGAGAAGCTTTAAATAGGAAAATAAAAAAAAAAAAGGAAAAGGAAGATTACCAAGTTTGACAAAAAGTCATTGTGGTAGTTTAAATGGAACTGGACCCCACAAGCACATAAGGAGTAGCATTCCTAGGAGGTGTGGCTTTGTTGGAACAGGTGTGGCTTTACTGGAAAAAGTGTGTCACTGTGGGAGCAGGCTTTGCGGTCCCATATATGCTCAAGTCACACCCAGTGTCTCAGACCACTTCCTGTCGCAAGTCAAGATGCAGGACTCTCAGTTCCTTCTCCAGCACCATGTCTGCCTGCATGCCACCATGTAACACCATGACAGTAATGGACTGAACCTTTGAAAATGCAAGCCATCCCAAATATGTTTTTCCTTTATAAGAGTTGCTGTGGTCATGGTGTCGCCTCACAGCAACAGAAACCCTATTAAAGTCAGTCACTAGAGCATATTAGTATCATTCTCAGTCAATAATATTTGCCCAACCTTATAAGATACTATTTGTATTCTTTGTATTCATTCCAATGTTCTTCCTGCAAAAACAATTTTAAAATCCAGTATTACTACTTGATGAAAAGAAAGACGTTTGCCTTGGGGAACAACACACCAGCCAAGCCTTTCAAAAGTCCCTTCCCTGTCGTCACTTAAACAACATTGTTTCCCTAGCCAGCTAGACAGAATGCTGTCTGTTTCAGTGTCATTCTGCAGAGTAAACAGAAGCACTATTATGACGGATACAAAGCACACCCCCTAACAAGGCTCATGTGTTAAAGGTTTGGTTCCCAACAAAGTCGTTTTCAGAGAAAAGAGTGGATCACGGGGGCTCTGCCTTCATCACTGAAGTGATCAACAGAAGGATTCAAAATCTCATTGACCATTGGGAGGTGTAGGAATTACGAAAGCTGGTACCTGCTTGGATGGAAGGATGTTCTCTGGAAGAGAGACACGCTCCTACTTCTCCCCAGCCTCCCTGCTCCAACATGCCTGTCTGCCATGGCGTCAGCCTCCCCCAGGCCCAGAAACACGGAACCCTTTACCATGTACTGGAACCCCTGTGACCCACAACGACTTGTTCTTTTAAAGTGCTCCTCTCCGGCACATGTCACAGAAAACCCAAAAACTAAACTAACATGAGCACTTTTCCATAGCCTTATTTTCATAATTATAAATGGGTCTTACAATAAAGTAAGATCCGATTAGTTTCTTTTTTTTTTAAATATTTATTTATTTATTATGTATACAATATTGTGTCTGTATATGCCTGCAGGCCAGAAGAGGGCACCAGACCTCATTACAGATGGTTGTGAGCCACCATGTGGTTGCTGGGAATTGAACTCAGGACCTTTGGAAGAGCAGGCAATGCTCTTAACCACTGAGCCATCTCTCCAGCCCCCCCGATTAGTTTCTTAATGATGCCTCAGTAATTCAAATGACTTACATATAACCTTACTAAATGATGAGCTTAGTTATTCTCGTACTGACGATAATGTGTAACTCCACCCCCAGAGAGTAAGAGTCCCCTTACCGAGGAAGGAGACAGCACATTAATTAACCTAGTAACGACGTAAGTTCCAAGTAACTGAGACAAGATAGCCAAGACACCGCAGTATCCTAGCTTTGAATACATTTCCCACCTTTTCTTCATCATGGTTTTTCCCATCTATAAAATTGGCTCCTAGGGTTTTCGAGAAGATGAAAACATCCAAGTCAATGAAAGCACTTGGAAACCTGGGCACACACCCCTCAGACAACCTTAGCTGCTACCCCGAACTTGTTTCTACAGCCGCCACCACCCATCCTCAAGATACTGAAGTCCTTGATTGTGAATCAGGCAGGACCAAAATATTTAGAAATAGAAAATAACACATTAAAAGCATGACGTTACCTGCTAGGAAGAACTTCATTGCCCTCCTGTTGATTGTATTTGTAGACACTTCCTTTCTAATTGGTTTAGAATCAACACATGCACATCTACACACTTACAACCCTTAGAAAACAAACAACAATAACAACAAGTACAAATTACAGAAAACCAAATGTTATTTTCATGGCTACAGGAGTGATTAAATAGAAAGATGTCTGAGAAAGAAGGAAAAAGACCATGAACCCCAGGAGGAGCGGCCCCGATTTTGTTCCTCTAATGTGACGGTGAACAGTCAGCCTGCAGAACAGTCTCTGGTGAAAGAAAGCACAGCGCAGCTAGCAAAAGCCCGAGCATACACACACTGTTGCCCAGACGCCTCTCCGGGCGCGCCTGGCCGTGAGAGGGGCTCGCAGGCTTCCTAGTTCAGGCAAACAACCTTTCTAATGCTCCATTTTCTCACCTATAAGATCATCACCTACCCTGTGGAGGTTCAGAGGATGACATGATATAACGTACATTAAGTGCTTGGTACACATGAATGCTAATTCTTTTTTCTCTAGGCTGGTTAACTTACCAAACATCGAAATTCCTTATGTTCTAACACTCAGTTCTCACACTCTCACTTCTTATGTCTTCAAAGTTAAGCCTAGCCCGAAGCCTTTACAAAGGCAGTGGCTCTCACTAAAGTTCAGCTCATTTATCAGATGAGGCCATGAGTGTAGATAAGTGTATGTTACTATGCAGACGGACCTCACGCACCCTTCCGTGATAATGAATAGTTCCTGTGATGTATACACGCACACGTTACATATACTTACATGTCTCTGTATTTACACACCTTTTAATATAGACACGGATTGTAACTGTACTTACTAATTAAATTTTGGCATGCCTGTAAAATACAGTGAAAAGGGAAAAAGGAAAACAAGCATTTTGCTTCAAAGACCAGAAAACTACACCAAAATAAGGTTTGGGGGGAACGATATTTAGCAGTCCCGTGGAGGCAGGACATACAAACCAAGAAAGGTTTATTCAGAGGAGGATGCCACCCTTCACCTGAATGACCACATCAGGAAGGCTGTCTATACTGTGGACAACCACAGACATTGAAGATGCTTAAAAAGGGTCTTTTAGAATCTGGGCGGTGGTGGCGCACACCTTTAATCCCAACACTCAGGAGGCAGAGACAGATGGATATTTGTGAGTTCAAAACCAGCCTGTTCTACATAACAAGTTCCAAGACAACCAGAGCTATATGAGAGACCCTTCTTGGAAGGAAGGAAGGGAGGGAGGGAGGGGAGGCGAGGCAAGGCGAGGCGAGGCAAGGGGAGGGGAGGCGCTGCTAGGCAACCTAACCCTAGAGCCAGAGAACTGGATTACTAAGTATAAAAAAGAAGCCACTAACAGCCAAGTACCAACTTTCATTTAAATTAAGGCTGCCAGGAAGCTCTAAAATCCAGTGTGCTTTTTGTTTTTGTTTTTTGAGACAGGGTTTCTCTGTCACTTTAGAGCCTGTCCTGGAACTAGCTCTTGTAGACCAGGCTGGCCTCGAACTCACAGAGATCCGCCTGCCTCTGCCTCTCAAATGCTGGGATTAAAGGTGTGTGCCACCACGGCCTGGCCAATCTCCAGTTTTTAATTTATGTTTTTAATTTATCTGCTCAAAAGCAGATAACTCAATCAATAGAAAATGAGACAACAGCCAAGAAGAAAAATCATTAAAATAAATCCTAGAGTCAAGCCAATAAAGAAGCGGAAATCAGGAAGACGTGAGGGCATTTGGATGGCTGGATGTTTTGGAAGCTTGGGGATGGGGTCATGGAGTGGAAGGAGTCAGACCTGGCAGAAGCCCAGTCTGAACTGCTGGGTTTGAAACAGTGGCAGCACAGGGAAGCAAGACTCCAAGTAGACAAGTCCGTGCCCCCAAATGGCGGTGGACAATGGCGGGATCCAGGCTGCTCTAACGCTGCTCAGAATGGCGGTGAGAGCAGAGGGGTCTGGAGGGTAAAACGGGAGAGAGACACTGAGTGATACTTGTTCCCTAGACAACAGTTTCCCCCAGTGTCGGCTCCTTTTCCTGCCTCTGATCCCCAATCAATCTATAGAATGGGTCTGCACACCAAACAACTATCCCCACGTTATACCTCCCGTGACTCCTACACAAACACACACATGCAGTCTTCAGGGGTGGTCTTTATAGACAAATCTCATGCAAACAAAACCAAAGAGAAAGGCCTCCAAGGCTTCACCCGCAAAAGTCAGCAGGACGGTTCAGAAAGGCTTATTAGGGTTCTGGCTGCTTGTGTCCCTTCTGCCTCCGACACCAGCCCTTGCCCTGTGTGCCTTGAATGTGTTCGTTCCTGCCTCGAGACCACCAAGTGCCCCCACAGGGACGTCACGTGTGACTGTCTGCATCTGTGGGATGGGAAGGGGACTGCATGAACATGGGCAATCACAGGACTGCCTGTGACATCACCACACGCAGGCAGGTCGCCGCCAGAGAGTGAGAGGATGGACAGGACTAACCCACGGCCGTCTAGAATGATGCTTTTGGAGGCCACGTCCCGAGAGGCCATCGAGTCAGTGTGGGAATGACAATCTGTGCCCAGCGCCACGGAGACACACAAAGCCAGCTTGGGAGCTGAGTCATGTGGGGAGGGCCTCTCCCTCCCCAACACCAGCCTCTCGTCACTCTGCTCATGTCTATAGCAACAGTCGCGCAAAGGGCATCATTAAACACTGGGTGGAAGGACGAGAAAGCTAGACCTGAGCTGTATGTGTTGAAAAGCTCTGTATTTGAGCTTTTCAAACACAAACCTGTTACAAAAAGACGTCAGTTTCATACAGGAAACACCAAGTACAGTGAATATTAATCGCCTATCCAATACCGGGACTCAGCCCCCACATCTCTGACCAAAGGGAGGTCTGAACCCTGACATTTGGTGAAGAGAAGCCGGCCAAGGACAAATATTTTACTTCAATAACTGCACAGATGGGTAAAATGCCTTCTAAAAACAAAAATTCTCTACTTCAGAAATGCCTCGTACATTTGACATTTAAGACATGCCTACTCCCAAGAACTGAATGTACTGCTTTATCATCTGAGAAGTTTGAAAAAAAATTACAGCAGTACAACATACATTTG